ACCCATCCCACCACATTTTCTTGGAGAAGGGATGTTCTAGGCTTAAACCAGGTTTCATTAAGAACTGGAACATAAGCTCTGTAAGGACAGAGATCTTGGATGATTTTCGATGCTGTCGTGTTCCTAGCACCTGCAACAGCAGCTGCCACATAACTGACCCTCAGTAAGTACTTATTAAAGGAAAATTGATGTGGCAGCCCTGGGATTTGAAGCCAGGCTTCTTGAGCTCTGCAATCTATTCTTCTTTTTTTCTATTAGACTTTAACAGAGAACTTGGAGCTTTCCAGCTGACTAATCTAAAAGAAACTTTCTTGCCAACAAATGAGCTGAACAGAAGGAAAGGAACATCCAAAAGGTATAGTCACAAGATCCTGGAACTACCTGCAGCTGGACACAGAGTAACCAAAGTAAACAAATAACAGCAGTGATTGAAAAAATGACATTGCATGAAAACTCATTCCAAGGTGGATGGTTAACCATAACTATTTGCCCCAAGACATGTGAAATTTTTCACTCTGAGATAAAATGTTTCAAGATCCTGAAAAAAAATTTTTAAAGATCCTGATTCTGTACTAGTTACCTATAAATACACATATTCTAGATATTAAGTAAAATTTCATTTAACCATTCAAGGAAAGAAGTTTTGGTTATAAAAAAAACCTTTTTATCCAAGACATGGATGTTTCCAAATCTTTTCTCTCTCCTTTCCAAACATAAAAAAATTAGACATTTTTGTGCTCCAGCAAGGGAAAAGTACAGATTTTACAGCCACCAAAGCCAGTTCTTCTGAACCCAGAGGTTGGTAGGCTTTGATATTCTGATTTTTTTTTCATTTGCCACCACACAAATAATATTAATTACAACTAGATAGTTTCAGGAGACAGTAGGAAAGATGATAATAACATGCCCAGGGTCTGACAACTGATTGCTATGTGCCCTCACTGCCTTGTTATCTCTGATTATGAAAACAAATTAAATGTCCCATTTCTAGAGGCTGATATTGATGGAAATTCACATGTTACAAGGGTAGTAACATCCTTCTTAATTATTAAGTATCTTCTTTTTTACAGGCTTACTCCATAAGTACTTGCAAACATAGGGATAATATGTCTTTTTTAACTCAGGTGTGTAGAAAGTAGCTTGTTCCCCACTGATCCCCACCTCAAGGCAGCTTTTTATTTCAATCACTTTGTCAAAAGAACCGACACACCCTCTCTGTATTGTGGGGTGACACAGACAAATGCTAGCAGAGAGCAGAAGCCCAGAATGTAGTTACATGGGTTCTTCTTCCACTTCTATTAAAGCCATGAGTCTCAGGTACTCTCTGAGGGAAATTTTGTGAAGGAGTAAGTTTTTACTTCGTCTGTTTAAAAAAAAAAACAAAAAACCTGCAATATAATCCCTAAAACCAGTTTCCTACATCTATGAATTTAAACATTTTTTAGGGATCCCTGGGTGGCGCAGCGGTTTGGCGCCTGCCTTTGGCCCAGGGCGCGATCCTGGAGATCTGGGATCGAATCCCACGTCGGACTCCCGGTGCATGGAGCCTGCTTCTCCCTCTGCCTATGTCTCTGCCTCTCTCTCTCTCTCTCTCTTTCTCTCTCTCTCTCTCTCTCTCTCTGTGACTATCATAAAAAAAAAATTTAAAAGAATAAAAAAATAAACATTTTTTAACACTTCAGAATTTTTTTCATCTAAATCAATATAATCCATTTCTTTACTTCAATTAAACTCACTATATTTCAGAAGGTTTCTGTTTTTGTAGCAATTCTAAAAATTATCTTCAGAAATGGGTCTTTTCAGATACCAATTATAGATGATTTTGGTTTCCTTCCCCAGATTTTTTAAAATTTTAGGTTCTGTGGACATGACTTTCACATATAAACAGTCAGTTTGATAAATGTTATATTGCTGCAAAAAAATTGCTCTATAAAATGATGTTTACAAAGAATGATCTTATAATTTAATAGTTACACTAAATGCTGAAGATGTAATTAGAATACAACTCAAACTATGTTACAAATAGTGCAATTTCACTTTTGGAAACTTTTCACCACATACTGATTTGAAATTAAAATAAAAAGTCTTTTGTGGGGGGCACCTGGCTAGCTCACTTGGAAGAACATGTGACTCTTGGTCTCAAGATTGTGAGTTCAAGCCCCACACTGCATATAGAGATTACATTTAAAACAAAAGGGGATCCCTGGGTAGCTCAGCAGTTTGGCACCTGCCTTTGGCCCAGGGCGTGATCCTGGGGTCCCGGGATCGAGTCCCACGTCAGGCTCCCGGCATGGAGCCTGCTTCTCCCTCCTCCTGTGTCTCTGCCTCTCTCTCTCTCTCTCTCTCTCTCTCTCTCTCTCTCTCTCTCTCTATGTCTATCATGAACAGATAAATAAATCTTTTTTTTTAATTTTTATTTATTTATGATAGTCACACACAGAGAGAGAGAGAGAGGCAGAGACATAGGCAGAGGGAGAAGCAGGCTCCATGTACCGGGAGCCCGACGTGGGATTCGATCCCGGGGTCTCCAGGATCATGCCCTGGGCCAAAGGCAGGCACTAAACCGCTGCGCCACCCAGGGATCCCTGGATAAATAAATCTTAAAAAAAGAATAGTCATATCACTTTTTAAAAAATTAAATAAATAAAAAATAAAAAAATAAAACAAAAACCGCAGGGGAAAAATAGTCTAGAGGAGATAAGCAAAGTCATAATTATTGTATTTCAGTGATGGATTATGAATATTCTTTCTCTTCCCATTTTTAAATATGTGATCTATAGTTAGTTCTCCAGTTGTAAAGAAGCAAAATACATAAATCTAAAGAATGAGATTGGATGGCAGAACAAAAAGATGCTAGATTAAATGGGGAGGTGAGAGAGGTTACTTGCCAAAGCCATGAGTTTGTATCATCCCTGAAGATCAGCTTCCCCATTAGCAGCACTGGAGATGCTCCCTCAGAACCTCCCCTACTTCCTAACATATACTGAGCTCTTAACTGCACACAGTGGAGTTCAGAAAAGTGTTACCATAATGTACACAGAGAACAGGATTTGTTATACTAAAGAAATTATCCTATTCCAATAACTTAACTCCTAGAGATGAAATCTGAGATGAATCCTATGCTTTTGCACATTCCATCCTAAAACAGAATTCTAACGAGTTTCCTATTTCCCTAACACAGCAGGACTATGTTTATGGAGAAAGTTAGTCTCACATGAGTAGATAACTCAGGAGTCCATATTCATGTCATTCCTTAAACCAAGAGTAATGAAAAAGTAAACAGACAAATGGTGAAAACAAACTAAACTTCTCAAACATTCAGGTTCTGTTTAACACAAGAATGTTTGTTCAAAGATTATTGAATTTTCTAGTGGGCAAGGACTTGACAGCAGAAAACAAGTTCATTACACTGAGAATACAGTATTAAAAAAGTTGTCAATAGCAGGGCACCTGGCTGGTTTAGTCGGTAGTGCTTACAGCTCTTGATTTCAGGGTAGTAAGTTCAATCCCCAAGTTGAACATAGAGATTACTTAAAAAAAAAAAGCTGTCAGTAGTAAATCAAATACAGAAAAATCCAATGAATCTCATTCCAGATGCCAATTATTCACATAATTTTTCTCTGAGGTTACTATATTTTCATACATTTTTATAAATTAATATAGCCCCCCCCCTTTTTTTAAAAGAAGATTACTGAGCATATTGAGTACAGCCCTAGTAGGATGGTAGGAAGGATGAAGCACCACCATGTGGTCAACGGATACTGATGGAATGCTAACCACTTGTGGGCACTCTGTGACTACCAATGGCCACATAAAGTAAGACAGATGACATGCGGTAGTCCCAAGGATGCTAAGAGCAGGAAGACTCATTTAGTCAGTCACAAAACACTCACTGAGTGCCTACTGTATGTTGGGCATCACAGGGAAGGTTGGAGAAACATGATCAGTGTTTAAAAGCAGACTGAAACGCAGTCACTGTTAATTTAGCAATTTAAGTGGCAAGGTGGCCTTTATCAGACAATTATAAATAAGTAAATGTAAAATCATAACCCTGTGAGATGCTGAGAGAGCAAATGACAGGGGGTCAGAGGGGGCGTCCCAGGATGGGCAACGGGTGGGGCTGCAACTGGGGGGGTGCAATATAAGGGAGGTGGCAGATTCCCAAAAAAACGCATCTATGTACTAGGGAGATGACAAGGAGTTCAGTGGGATGAAGAAACAACAATGATATGGGAAGAAAAATGGTAATGGACAGGCAGAGAAAGGCCAGGTATTAACAAGGGACTTAAATTATGTACAGCTTGTCGTGTTAGGGTTTTTTTTTTAATAAGATTTATTTATTTATTTGACAAAGAGCCAGAAAGAAAGAAAAAGTACAAGCAGGAGGAGTAGCAGAGGGAGAGGGAGAAGCAGACTTCCCGCTAAGCAGGGAGTCCAATGCAAGGCTCCATTCCAGGGCTCTGAGATCATGACCTGAGCCAAAGGCAGATGCTTCATGAACTGAACCACCCAGGCACCCTGGTATATTTTTTTTTTTTAAGTGAGAGAATCTAGAACATGTTTTTGTGCTACAGTGAAAATGTTACAGAGACATGACAAAATTTCAGCAGCAATGGGGGAAGTATGATGAGGAGACATAGTCCCAAGTGCAACATAGTTTGTAAATAAAACAGGAAGAACAAATCTGGGACCCCTGGGTGGCTCAGCAGTTGAGCTGCCTTTGGCTCAGAGCGTGATCCTGGTGTCCTGGGATGGAGTCCTGCATCGGGCTCCCTGCAAGGAGCCTGCTTCTCCCTCTGCCTATGTCTCTGCCTCTCTCTCTCTCTCTCTCTCTCTCTGTGTCTCTCATGAATAAATCTTTTTAGAAAGAAAAAGAAAGAAAGAAAGAAAGAAAGAAAGAAAGAAAGAAAGAAAGAAAGAAAGAAAGAATCAAAATGTGGATCCATTACATGTTTCAATAACATAAGATTTTCTTTTTTCCCCCATCATGTAGAGCTTACCCCTATGATACTCAGTCCCTTAAAGTAGTCCTGCCGAGGCTGGGCTTGAGGAACACATCCAGCTAGCACTATTTTCTTGTTCTCCTCTTGAGCTTTTCTAAAAGATTGAAGAAAAAACAGTTTGATTGTTTTGCTCACAAGTGTACTCTTAGAAACTCATGTTAGTGCATATAAACTGTCCAAATCCTAACAAGCCTTTCTACCATGAAACTGGATTTTCTAACAACTGCTAAAAGAGAAAATATTATAATAAGACTCCTGTACTACACATCTACTGATCACACCATTAGAGAATACAACAGCCATCCAACCTGACCATGTCTTTATCATCCCATTACAAAAGCAAAAACTTTATACAGAATTCTCAAGGATATAAATCATGCTTAAAAGCCACTTTCCAGTTAGCCATTCAATTAAGTTATTTTAAATATTAATGAAAATGTACCTAAAACCCATTCTATGACTTTCCAGGAGTTTGACCACTATAAAAGTTAAACATACTTTTAAAAATTCTAACAGAAGTCTAAAAAACAGAAGGTATAATATCCCTTCTCTCCTGGGAATTCACACATCTCCCCACTTCTGCTCCCCAGGTACTTATGCTTAAGCATTATAGGGTGCTTATGCTAACTGCCAGCCCAGCCCTCACATATGTAAATATAATGTGTAACTAGACCCATGTTCAGTACTTACATATAAGTATGAAACTACATTTTGCTTTACAAATACCTTTTTCCTTTCACATCTTTACATAACCATCAATCTTATCCTTTTTACCCATCACAATGTGGATATACTATAGCTTAACTATTATTCTTATCGGGAGTTAGGTTGTTTCCAATCTTTCAGTATTAAAAATGATTTTACAATGAGCATGTGTATACATACATATGTACATATGTGGATAGATAGATATCTTTGATTATTTCAGAAAGTGTTTCTGGGTTGTGGAAATCCACAGGTGAAATCTATGCTAAGATGTCTACTTATTTCCCTAGCATAAATGCTAAAAAGTAGAAACGCTGATTCCAAGGTCAACATGGCTGGTTATTAAGCACATCTTTACTTAGGAAGGGGTTGGGATATATTTTATACATTACTCCCTCATCTGGCATTCACATATACAGTAAACACTGACTGTGTGCCAGAAAACAGTGGTCAATTCAGTGGTGCTGGAAATCTTTTTCTAGAAACTATTCACATCCTTTGCCCATTTTAAAATGAAATTTTCAAGTCTTCAACTCTTTTTCAAGTACATGGGTTTTGGGGTACAGTGATGCTTTGTTTCCTTTTTTGTTTTTCTGGATGCTGGGGTACACTAGGCTTTATGCACCAAATTGTGTTCCTGGCCCCCCTGGCAATCTTTACCTTTCTAAACTGAGGAAGTTAAGAGTATGAGCAGCCCAATTTCAAGACATATCCAAGAGAATTACTGCCAGGCTCTACCACCTGGTTTTACTTTTTTATTAGTACCATGCACATCATTGTACACAGTTTTCTGGTGGTAAATGCAAAATACCTTATCAAACAAAAAAATAATTTTCCATTTACATTAAGAATCTATACGAGGAAGTGACATCTGGCTTCCTCAAGAATTTTAGCTATAATACCTAGAAACATGGCAAACATCCAAGAGAGTCTGTGAGGTCACCAACAATTACATTCAAATTAAAAGGCCTGCCTCCTATAATGTGACTCATTTTCTTTTTTTTTTTAATAAATTAATTTTTTATTGGTGTTCAATTTACCCACATACAGAATAACACCCAGTGCTCATCCCGTCAAGTGTCCCCTCAGTGCCCGTCACCCATTCACCCCCACCCCCCGCCCTCCTCCCCTTCCACCACCCTAGTTCGTTTCCCAGAGTTAGGAGTCTTTATGTTCTGTCTCCCTTTCTGATGTTTCCCACACATTTCTTCTCCCTTCCCTTATATTCCCTTTCACTATTATTCATATTCCCCAAATGAATGAGAACATACACTGTTTGTCCTTCTCCGATTGACTTACTTCACTCAGCATAATACCCTCCAGTTCCATCCACGTTGAAGCAAATGGTGGGTATTTGTCATTTCGAATGGCTGAGGAATATTCCATTGTAGACATAAACCACATGTTCTTTATCCATTCATCTTTCGATGGACACCGAGGCTCCTTCCACAGTTTGGCTACTGTGGACATTGCTGCTAGAAACATCGGGGTGCAGGTGTCCCGGCGTTTCACTGCATCTGAATCTTTGGGGTAAATCCCTAACAGTGCAATTGCTGGGTCATAGGGCAGGTCTATTTTTAACTCTTTGAGGAACCTCCACACAGTTTTCCAGAGTGGCTGCACCAGTTCACATTCCCACCAACAGTGTAAGAGGGTTCCCTTTTCTCCGCATCCTCTCCAACATTTGTTGTTTCCTGCCTTGTTAATTTTCCCCATTCTCACTGGTGTGAGGTGGTATCTCATTGTGGTTTTGATTTGTATTTCCCTGCACATCTAAGACATGATGTTGTGAATTTAAGAGAACACAGTAAAGAAGACATGCTCTTTGCACCCAACGAGCTTATGGTTTATAATGGACGAGATGTAAAAGAACATCAACAACACAGCATCAAATAAAATGCCTCTAGTGACAGAAAGACACACAGGCAACATATATATCATGGGGAACAAAAGAGTATATAGACAGAAAAAGATAGTACAAGGCTTCCAAACAAACTTGGGGGGATTTTTAAGGCAGACAGTAGGAGGAGAAAGAAGAATTAAGAGGCAGAGAAACCATCAGGCAACTGTTATAGCATGGCAAAAGACAAGAAGGTTAAAAGTAGGAGGGAAGTACTGAACTACAGAATTCATATATATTATAGAGACTGGAAAGCTTCTATTATGGAAGGAGATTTAAGAAAGAGGCTGAAGAGTTTCTATTTAAGTTAGTGGGCAATGGGGAAGTGTTTGGCAGCAGTGTGGACATAGAGTGGAACCAAACTTGAAGAACATGACAATGGTGGCAAGATATAAAATGAAACACAAGGGAAAAGAAGCTAAGAGGTAAGAAAAAGGGATGTGACGACTGAATGCATGTGGAAGATAAAAAAATTAAAAAAATAAAAATAAAAGATTAAAGGAAAGGAGATTAGTTTTCTTGCTAGAATATACTTGAGGAAAACCCCAAGGAAGTTCAAAAGTCTACAAGGGATCAGCGAACATCCTACAGAAAAAGCGACATAGTCAATACTTTATTTAGGCTCTGCTACTCACAGGTCCTCTGTTGGAAGAGTTTTAATTCTGTCACTTTAAAGCAAAATCAATCGTACATAATACGCAAGTGTGTGTGTGTGTGTGTGTGTGTGTAGCATCTGCCAATAAAGCTTCATTTACATAAATAGGCAGTAGGTCAAATTTGGCTCAAGAAAGCAGCTGGCTGAGTAATGAGATAGAAGGCAACAAATTCACATAGAAAACACTAAATCTGAGGTTCCACTAATGCCCATCAAGTTTCTGGAAATTCGAGTCACCGGCTGGGAAGGAAGCTGGGGGGAGATTTTGGAAACATTCTCTAATAATGTGACAGTTGATAACAGTGCATAGAACCTAGTGGTGTAGAAAGAATCCAACTGAATACAAAATTTTAAGCCTCTTTAGAGATGAAGAAACATTTCCACAGAATAAAAAGGTTGGTATGAAAAATAAAAAGGAGGTAACATTACCACCAACCACTATATTCTAATGACAATAATAATCACAGCTAGCATTTACACAGCATTTCACCAAGTTAACCATTATATAATTAGCTACGTAACATATCTGAAAACAGCACAGCCAATATGTTATAACAATCCAGGACAAATGTTATTGTTTTTGTTTTTTGAAAGATTTTATTTATTCATGAAAGAGAGAAAGAGAGAGGCAGAGACACAGGCAGAGACACAGGCAGAGGGAGAAGCACACTCCGTGCAGGCAGCCTGATGTGGGACTCGATCCTGGGACTCTGGGATCACACCCCAAGCCTAAAGCAGACGCCCAACCACTGACCCACCCAGGCATCCCCAGAACAAATGTTCTGATGACATAATAAACACTAAATCAGGTCATAAAGCAGTCCAAGGCTGATTTTAAGGGAGTAAGCAGAACACCAGAGAATTAAGAGGAAAAGTTCAAAATAGAGATGCTTGAGTAATTTACTTAGAATATTATTTCATGCTTTTACTGAATATGGATTTAAAATGCTAGGGTAGACCAGAACTATAATCAAAGCAAAAATCATAGCCCTGTTATGGAATATTAATGTCACATTTTATATGTGACCAAATAAAGTAGGAAAACTTTTAACCCAATTTCTCTGAATCCTCTTTTTCTAAACATTCCCTTCTTACATCCTGTTCTTTTTGTTTAGTGAGCTTTGTTCAGGTTAATAGAAGCCTGTAAAACAATTTCTTGAGAAACATACCCAACACAGACACATTTTTAAAAGCTTTTGTCCTTCATAATATGAATGCTGGTAACAATAACACCTTAAGAAACTTTAAAGTAACATGAATCTCTAAAGTCCTCATTTTAGATAGCCTTGAAATATTAATTAAAACAAAAATTACATGTAAAGCTAACTCAATATAATTCTTATTTTCTTGAAACATATTTCTAAATTAGAGACATACCCTTGACTAGAACACTAACTTGAGTAATGCAGAAAACATGTAGAAATCCTTCCCTCTTTTCTGCCAACTACTAAATACAAAAATAATTTGTACAGAATCTTAAAATTCACAGAAGCATAGAAAATAAAGATGGCATGTCATTTACTTTATTTCACCAAAGAGATGAGGAGCCACTGGCTGGCTCAGCTGGTTAAACATCTGCCTTTTGCTCAGGTCATGATCTTGGGATCCTGGGACTGAGCCCCACCACGTAGGGCTCCCTGCTCAGCGAGGAATCTGCTTCTCCTTCTGTTCCTCCCCATCCCACTCATCCTCTCTCTCTTAAATAAATAAAATCTTTTTTAAAAAGAGAGAGAAAATTGAGATTCAATAAGATGTAATAACTGTTGCCCAAAGTCCACCACTTTGAGTTAGTGCTGGAGCTGGAATGGATGCTTAAGATTCACTGTTCCTTGAA